TTAAAATATTTTCAAAGTATCCTGCGCTTTCTTCACAAAAAGAAATAGTGAAAGTGAGGATTTAAAATATTATATTTAAATAAGCGTACTGTAAAAAGAGAGAAAAAAAGTTTTTAATAAAACGGAATAATTCGCAATAAAAAATTATAAGTTAATAATAAGACTCGTTACTTACAAATAAAAAAGAGTAACCCGTGATTTCAAATCGCGTTCTCAGGACAAACAATGTCGCTCTTCATAGCCACGGGACTGTGGTTCATCAGGTTAATAGACGGGATTCAAGCTACAAAGTCATTTCCAGGGATTCGCATAGAGTGCACATGAGGACTTAATTATGCCCCATTATGCGGTCCTTTGTACGTCTTTAATTTTGTGGTTAGCCTTGCAGTTTGTTACCTGAAAATAATATATCTGACCAAGTTTCAAAATCGTAGGTTAATATTAAGATCACACACCGACTCCTTTTCCAAAAGTTACCTACGATACCACTCTTTTGGTAATTAAAACTTTCCATCAGATTGCAGGAACTATTGAAATGCTGATATTCCTGTAACGATATCCTTTTGTGTCATCTATTTTTTAATTTAACTCAATTAATACTATTAATTTAATTGATAATTTAATTGCTATTTTAATATTCCAATATTCTAATACTAATAAAAAAATACCTCTTTTTTTAATATCTACCTATTCTATCTACTCTGTTAATAATGGAGTAGATAAGAAGATTTATAAGATTTTCTTTCTGTGCAATACAAATACATCTGACGGGCCTCATTTCGAGTTTCACTATTAGTGGCAAGTTTACAAAGATGTGAAAATATTGGGGGAAAATAAAGCCCTATTTCAGCTAAATAAAACCCTGTTAAATAGTCAAATCCTAAGAAAAAATAGTTCATTTAAAACATTTTAAAAAACAACTTTTCTTTGACTTTGCACGAAAAAGGAAAAAAATAAAATATTAAGAGTAACGTATTAAAATCGTGTTGATATAATCTCAATTAATTTTCCACATGTTATGTTCATTTTATAATGTAAATTTTATCATTAAATATGCTCCAAGAATTTCTTATAAGCATTTTAAAGACAGCAGATGAAAATTCAACGGCATATTTTATATTGTAATTGTTATTCGAAAACCATCTGTTTTCTTTAAAAAATTAATAAGAGATTCTTGCAATACATTTCAAGACACATAATACTATAAAAGGAACATAATATCTGGAAAATTAACTAAGACAATATCAACTCCATTCTAATAAGTTACACTCAATATTTTATTTTTTACCTTTTGATGCAACAAAAAAAATGGTTTTTTAAAAATTTAACACTGTTTTAGTTCAAAAGCCTCATCGATTCGCCATTTACACAGAATTCGCGCACTTTTTCTAAAAATGGAGTATTTGAAAAAAAACTGCAGACCAAATACGAACAGACCATCCATAATGAAAATTATTAAACATTGTTTCAAAAACAATTTTACAAAAAAAAAATTATAATTTTATAATTAATATTTTTGTTAATGTTATTATAGTTGATTTCTATTTATTTATTTATTTTTTTTACTCAAGCATAGATAAAAAAAAGTGGCTATTTTAAAGAAAATGAATGAAGAAATAAGAATGATAATGATAAGGACTTAAAGATTTTTTTCAACTTCCTTCAACTGTTGAATTTATTGATGAAAATATAAATTTTTGTCAATAAATTCAGCAATTACCCAAAACTAAATTTAAATTCTAGGCATTTTGTTTCCAGTTGTTTTGTAGAAAAAAAAATGTTTTTACTTAAAGCCCTTAAGTTTAAACTACAAGCTGATTAATCAAAAACTTTCATTTTATGTGTTGAAATATTTTATTTGTTCCAAATTCAACTTATTAAAACTGAGCAATCATATGCTATGAAAGAATTTTTAAAAAAAAATAAAGAAAGAAATATTTTTAAAAAAAGACGCAGCCCAACTATTGTATGTAAGATATTGTATGCTACGAGAAGCTAAATAATTGAATCAACAATATAAAAGGATTTAAAATTATGCATTTATAATGCAGAAAATTATGCAGAAATTGCAATAAAATATTTGCTCACGATACCAAAAACGTTAGATCATAAAAACACCGTTCTTAATAGAAGTCACGCATCACTGGCAGGGGTCAGTAAGTAGGCGGGTGACCACTTTGATCTGACTGCGAAGACGCTGAGTGGGCATCGAACTTTCATAAACTGTTCTACCGTCGCTCGATTTCGTGAGCAGGTCGTTGGGCTAAAAAAGCAAAGGAGCCATTCCCTCAGCAGTAGATCAAAATTGTGATACATTTCTTGGGATCATCCTCAAAAATGTTTCCCAGACCGTCGCCAATATCCCATTGTGCAACTTTAGGGCTACGTAAATAAAGTACTACTACTTCTACTAAAACAGTAATTACAATTACTGTGATATACTCATTTATCTTTTCCACTTGTTCATTTTTGAACTTGTAAATGTTGCACTAGATTTTTTTCTTTTATTATTTTTATTTCCTTCTGTAATATTAGTATATCTTTCTGATTACTATTCAGAAATGAATGATATCAGTTGTGAAATTTTTGTCATTTTCTTTGAATGCGATAACCAACTGAAAAATACTTAAATATTAAAAGAAAATTAATAAATTATCTTCCTGTATAAATAAAAAGTTCACATTTGTAAATTTTTTCTTTATATAGAACGCCTATCCAGCCTATTTTCATAAAACTAACATGACATAACACATTAAATTGCAAAGAATGAATCTAGTACTAGAGAGAGCTAGGAGAAAAAACCGAAGTTTACACTGTCATTCTCCAAGTTCACTCCTCCTTCTGTTTTCGCCTTGCATTAACTTTTTGGGAATATTGTCGTGAAGTTTCAATAAAACTTTTACATACAGAAATCTTTAATCGTGAAAAAAGTTAATCTAAGATCATATAATTAAAAAATAAAAGCCAACAAAGATATATTTAGACAAATATCATTTTAAAAAGGAGGAAATCAGTAATTTAGTGGGTCTTAAATCAAGGCCTAGTTCGGCGCCCCAGTAACCTGGCACTTGGGGTGTACATGTTACTGTTGAACCACTGAAGCCACATTGGTCTAGATTTGATTTACACAGTTTTCATTGTGTAATTTATTACTTCTGTATAATAATTTCTGGCAATATTTTTCCACAAGATAATGTGCTTGGTAGGATTTCAACTATAGTTAGCATTGCCCACTTAGGACAAGCTTGATTTTCTTTACTATAGTGTTTTTTCGTTCAGTGGAAACGTTTATGTACCTTTATTTCATGAGTTATCTCTTTAAATTTTAGCATCTCTAGGAGCTGGAATGAAGAAGTACATTTGGAGATTAACTATAATTTATTTTCAGACTTAACGTGACTGCTAAACGAAGAAAGTATTCATTTAGTTTAAACATGACTTAAAATAAATTCACTACCACTTTTTACTTATTGGTAATATCTTACTGTTACTGTCTTTAAGGGCTATGGCCCTTAAAACCTACCCTTTAAATCTTAAAGCTACATATAGATTGGACGAATTTATTTTTTCCAATAGTTTTATACAGTTTTTTTTTTAAATTAATTCTTTTTGCCAGTACAGGGGGAAGATCGATTACTCGATAGTTTTTTAAATTTATTTATTTTCGTAGAATTGGTGATCGAAATGGGCTACAGGTGGTATAGAGCAAATCTCTCTAATTATAACAATACTTCGCATGCTTTTACCATTATTGTGTAGAGAGTCATAGGAGAAGGAAGTACGTTAGTTTCTCTCTTGATTGTTTAAATAGAATAAAAAGTTTTAAGTACAGAAACTCTTTGAATCTGAAAACTACAATGAACATAGTTCTAAAAGAAAGCGCCGTGGAAATCAGTCAAATACGAGAAATATCAAGAAGGGGAAAAATATCCTAGTACATTCCCATACAACTGAAAAGAGGAGGAAAGAGAAGGGGAAGGGTCAAGACATGGATCCGGTCTTCTCCCCAGATAGCGCATTCGACCTAATAGAAAAACATTTATCTTTTATTTCTTTAAAATATCATTGCAATTTTAAGTATATGCAAGTATAATGTGTTTATAAAAATATTAGCAGCTCTAATTAACCATTTAGTATTTTTATAACATATTTTAAAATGGATGGTGTTTTCTAGACTAGGGAACGCTGCAAGCTCCATACCGCCTATACTTCCTGGCTACTGTTTCCAGTGTATTTTAAATCCATTTGGCTCATAACGTGATCATTGTGTTTTGAGATTCTTGCAAGCGTGGTATTTGATTACTTATTACTTGTGTTTACAATGCTAACAATACTTGTGCTTGCAATGCTAAGGGTGCTTACACTAACATAAGATGGTGCACAGCTTGCAACAAGAACTAACAGTAATAAAGAAATGGGAAGAGGCCAAATCAGGACTGCCAAAAAAGCGAGTTATTCAAAATCTAGCAACCATGTCACCTTTTTTAACAATATATCTATAAATAACTAAAACAAGTTTTCACTTCAAACTCACCAGAATTGCTTAAAAACATTAATATCTTATTTTATTATATTATATCTTTAATATATTATACTTTTATTATATTATATCTTATTTAACTATACGGTAGATTTGAACTCAGAAATTATCTAATTTACTTCTTTTATTGAAAACAAAATTATCCGCTTGAAAATATCGCCTAGCAGAATAAGCTGTAGTAAGCAGTCGTAAACTTTCTAACCGGAACTAGACCAGGTATAGAGCTCGAGATTTTTATTGTTTACATTTCTACTGCACCGCCTGTTCGAAAGTAGGTGAGGTTCTCGCTTGCATCTCTAAATTCAGTTACGCGAATTTTTTACAGACAGTGTGAACGGTCCCAAATACGGAAACTGTATCAATTGTCATAAATGCTTAGCGCCATCTATACATTTTCTTAAAATATCGGCCACGGAGGATGGATGCTATTTTCTTCTGTATTTCGCATGCTAATTTATACTAATGGCAATTCAAACAAGTTTTTTGCCGACGTAGTGTGTTAAATGTTCGAGGCGAGGTGGTATGAAGTAATTAAGTGCCTGTATGTTGTGTTTTGAATGTGTGTGGAATGTATGTTATTTACTTATAACTTCTAAATATTTTACAAAATTTTAATAATAGAAATCTTATCAATGCAATCATTCATGCAGTATTCATTAATAGTAAATTGCTTCATATAACCTTATGTGGTGAGTTACGATATTTGCTTTAATAGATGTCGTAATATTTATAATTATATACGATTACCCATATCGTTAGATGTAAATATAAAATAATTCTATGTAACGTTTTTCTCGATCTATTCATTTTTTACTTTTAGATGGTATATTAGATACTGGTTTCAAATACATGCTTGATTGATTTTTTAAAATTAGTCCTGATTTCGTTTGTTGATTTGCAATATAAATATCATTATGTGTTGCAGGCTATTTAATAGCAAACTTAATAACAACAAAAATATGGGTAATCTCTTTTTTTTTTTTCATTAAAAGGTGAACTTTATTTTGAATAATTTCGTATTTCCTTGTTTAGAGAGTGTACCATAAGCTGAATCATTATTATATTCTACAAGTTAATAAAATTTATGTGTTTACTTTCGATTGATGAAGAGGAAAAAATTTGTATTCATTAAAATTAGTAAATTATTTTGTGTGTTTACTTTCTCTGTGATGTAAATAAACAATTGTTTTGTAAACAACACAACTGATTATGAAAGAGGCTATACCTACAATAAGGTTTAGAATAACCATGTAATGAATCAAAAACAATTGTTAAAAATCAAACCTAGATTGTAAATACTGTTTAATATTACAAGTATTAAATTATCCATTTTTTTAATAAAAATACTTGTAATTTATACTTAAACAATTTATTGAAATTTAGCTTTTTCTTGATTTGGGAAATTATTTTTTAGTAAGAAAACATATACTGATTAAGTTTGATTGTATAGTAAATTTTATGGCAATAGCTAAAGAATAATTAGTCATTTTCAACAAACCAATGTAATGAGCCAGGTTTTAGATGTCCTTAAATACTGATGAACAGTATAATTCTAAACAAATTTTGAATGTCTGTTTTTCATTTATCAGATCTTTGTTTGTGAATCCTTTGAAGTTTTTTAATGTAAAACATTATTTCCGCTTGATTGATATTTTGTTTTAGTATAAATTCGTATGTTATAAGCTCTACGATGTAATTAAAATTCAGAGGTTTATTGAAAATTATGTGGAATTAAGAAATCAAGTTTTATGAATATTGCTGGATATATTTTAATAAAGAATACGATAATCATGCTATTTTTCTTTATAACTCATATAACTTGTAATATTTTGAATTTCAAATTTTAATATAAGTTGGTCATATAATTTTTATTAGATAATTCTATAATGTAATTTCTACTAATAAAAGTTGGAATTTAATTCAGAATTTAAATAAGTTATATAATAAGGAAAATATATCTGCACTATCAATTATGCTTTATTATTTTCCATTAAATATTAATTTCTTCAAATATGATCTTAACTTATATATGTAATATATAACTCTTCTACTATAGTTTAGTTACTGAGTATGTTTTGTTAGAAAAGGTAACACGAATAATTTTATTTTTTTCATTTTCATCTGAAATGATTTTTTAATGACTTTTTCTGCCCCCCTTTATTGGCAATTTGTTTCAACATCTCTTTAGATGAGGCTAACAATGTTTTTTATTGAGACTATAAAGTAGAATTATTGACAAACAAACTCTTCAAGAAGTAGGCTGATGTTTAATTTTGTTTCTTTGCTAAATGGCAAATGAAATGCATAAAATAAAGAAAAAATGAACAATTAAAGATGTCAGAGATAATGCTGACAGCAGCAGTTGCAGATGTTCTAACCTTAATATATTGTTTAATTTAGAGGCTAAATTTTCCAGGGTAAGTTGTTAAATTTCATTCTGATACAGAAGCTTAAAATTGATTATGAGAAAAACAAATCTAAAATTGAACCTTTTATAGTTTGTCTAAAGTAAGAACTCCCCTAGCCATTTGTCTTGACCCGTGGCGGTAACAAGGTGTAATTATTTCATGTAGGGGTGAGTCATCGTTTAGGACGACTTTTGGCTCGGGTCAACGAGAGAAAAGAAATCTTTTTCTTTGGCCTATTGTGTTAGCCCTAGAGTGAAGAGAAGTTACCCTCCCTGAAATGCGCTATTCTTGTTTCCATAGCAGTGGCCCTCAGACTTTGTGGCGGGAGGAGTTCTTACCGTAGACAAACTCTACATCAATTCTTTTTTCTCTTTTTTTAATTATTATTTTTCTGTTAAGCATGGTTATATTTATATAATATATTATTTTTATTATATAATATTATATCATCTTTTTAAATTAAGAAAAATAATTATTTTGCAAAACACTTTCGAAGCAAAATCATTAAAGTCACTTTTAATGCAATTGCATAATCGTAAGAAAAGCGTGACTATGCAAAGTGGAGAATCTCTTCCAGATTGACCTGCTTGTTAAAATAAGGGGTTATTGAAGTTTTTTTTCTCTTTTTTATTAATACTAAAAAATTTTCTACCATGGGGACGAATTTTTTGCAAACAGCATTCACACGTTCGGGTATATTAAACATACTATCTGCTTAGGAATATCAATAAAAGGACGTATTTATGATATGGTATCTAAGAATTTTCTTTCTAGTATAAATAGGTATCTAATATTTTTTTAGCAAATTTTGACTAAAATATAATTTTTCTGTTTCTATGTAAAATAAAGCTATGAACTTTACTCTCTCTTTCTCTAAAACCGTACAGGTCTTATTTCTATGTCAAATCGAATAGAAGTTATGATGATTTAAAATAACATTTAATTTGTTTATGACATTGATAATGGTACTTTTTTTGTTCTTTTTCTCTTTGCTAATTTTTAAATTTTTTTCTCCTTCATTTTAAATGCAATACTCGAAAATTTACATGTATGTTTCCTGTATGTATGTTTAGAGAATAGACTACTGCCTAGTTGATTAAATTATTGTTTTTATAATTTACAGCTAAAATTAAATTAACTAATTACACTTTTTAGCCCTTTTTTTGCCAAATAAGTTACGATATTTGGTGTAAAACATCTAAATATTAAGTCTAATGTGTTATGTAGTCTATTCCCCTTAGTTGAGGTTTTATGATTATTAAAGCAATAATAATGAAAAAAGTCTACAAGAAAATACACAAATTCAAAAATATTTTGAAAATTTTACTTAATGTAGTAAACAAAGCAGAATGTAAAATTATACATTTATAAGTAATACAAGTAGGTATACGTTTATAAGTAATACGTTTCCTGGAAAGATAAATTGCACAAAAATTCAAAGTGAACTTCCAATTTAAAATTTATAAAAAATAAATAAAAATACAGTTATGTTTCAGTTTATTATTTTTTTTATGCTATTTAGTTTTACTTTATAGAGTTAATATTTGGATTTATAAATTATTTTTATTTAAATATATTTTCTTATTTTCACCACATCTGTAAAATCAAATGATTTTTTTATTCTTAGTCTAAAAAAAATTTAAATTAGGTGCAATTTACTTTCTGAAAAATATTTTGAAAGAGTTCTTGTAACTAAAAGAAGGTTCTGGGGAAATATTAGGAGAATTTTTCGCTGCCCTCATCACTTGTTATACAAGCAACTAGTGTGTTATAAAAATTCGTTTTTCCTGTAAAGCTGTTTTTTCTTTGATATAAACTACCCCTTTTTTCTCTTTTAGTGATTTATATTTGTAAAATTTGCTATTTTATGTGATTAATTCTTTATAAGATTAAAAAGTTAGGCACTATAATAATTTTTTAAGTAAAAATTGAAATAAATATTTTAAGTTCTTTAAAAAATTATTTTAATTCTTTTTCTTTCTAATTAATGCTTTTAACAGTTCTCACTTATTTTGAAATGTTATAATAAATAAGTCGGAAAATAATGCTGTTTATTAAGCTAGATTTAAAATTATGAACTGTCATTTTTTACAAAAAGCACTTGATATTTCTTTTTCCAAAACGTTCAATTTTTTCCTCTTGGATGATTCAAAGGAGTCTTTCTTCTCTTGGTTTTTTTTCAAGAAGCATCCAATGCTGGTTATTCAAAATAAATGAAACCTGAAACAAGTGACAGCTATGCAAATTAAAGTTTAGAAACAAAATAACACTACCTTAAAATATATTTTTAGTAGTGTAACTTCTTTATGGCAATGTAACTGCTTCATTTTCTATTACCAGTTTTCTACATGTGTATCGAAGAAGGTTACTTTGTTTTGTACTTTTGTTTATTCCATTCAATATTTTAAAAAAAAATTTATTTTCATTTTAAGAATTATTTATATTTCAAAAGCTCATTTTTTATGTTTCCTTTTTTAGAAAAACTTTATAATTTAATACATTTTTTCATTGAAGAAAATATATTTTTAATCAATTATTCATTCAAATTTCATTTTTAGGACTTTCTCTCAGAAAACATGAATTCCAAATGAGCAGATTTTAGGCGAATTATAAAATGCTTCTCATGATAAGTTTCCAACTAAAGTTATCTGCATTTCATTTATCAGATACCATTTTTTGGGGTTGAGTTAAAATCTAGGTGTGTATATTTCTGTAAGTCATTTTATATATTACTACTTTACTTTGATTTTATGATTTATTTATCATTACATTTTCATTTTCTAAATTTTACATATAAACACTACTTTATCCACTTCGATTGTTTGCTTTAAAAATTGCTGCATAAATTCTAATATTTTAAAAGTTAATTGTTTATAATTGTAGAGAGTTCTAAGCAGATATTTTTAATTTAACAGTAATGTTGACCAAAGTGCAACAAATTCTAATAAAAACTTTTTTATGTGAATTTTAAAAAAGATGATGTTTTAAATGTATTAATATCACATCACTGTTGATGATTAATTCTAAAAAAAAAAAATTCCCTACTTTCAACTTTACTCAAATGACTTTTAAATTTTTCAAAACTAGGCAATTTTTTAAAAATATTTAAATTGTTCTTTGTGTTCAGATTCATAGAATATAGACACTTAAACAGATAGTTCTAATATTTTTCAGTAATTTTTGAAATATTGAAAGAAAAATGTTTATTTTATTCCTGAAAAGGCCAACTCTTTTTCTTGTCAGTATATAAACATCATAAGAATAAGAAAAAAACCCGTTACTGAAAAAGTAACCTCTCGTCAAATTATAAAATTATTATTGTTGAATTACCTATCTCCCACAAAGTCTGATTCATATGTTCCTGAAACGCTGATTATTTTAGCTAGCAGAGTAACTGTCTTTCTGTATGAAGAAATCACAACTTATAAAGGAGTTGGTTGTTTCCAACTGAGTCTTCCTTCTTCCTTTCTCAATTTTTGAATAGTGTCTATATAATAAACAATATTTTTATGCTACATAAAGTTTTTCTTTTATTTCTGAAATTTTTGTTTAGCATTGTTTTAGAAAATTTTCAATTGAATATCTGAGTGTGCAGAAAGCTAATTTTTAAAAATTAATGAAATTAAGTATTTTTCTAAAAGTAATAAAAGCTAAAAAAAAAAAGTTATTTTTATCAGGGTATGATTTTCTGTTTCTTCATTCTGATACTCACTTAAGGATACTAGATTTTTTTTTTTTATTTGTATCAAAATACTAATACAGGATTGAAAAACATGGTGATAAGTTTGCCCAGACATTTTTGTAAGGTCAAGGTAAAAATTGGTCTCATTTTCAAATGGTCAAATCATTTTCATACTTATAGGGGTACAACAGAGTAAAATTTTCTGAAAATAAAAAAATATATATAGCAATTTTTTTTAAAATTTATTTATTTATTTGTTTATTTTTTTATAGTTTATCCTTTAAGATTATTGTATCGAAATTTTGAATTGATTTTCGTAAAAATGTTAAAGTTACTGCAAAATATGTTGAGGGCAACGCGGATCATACTGTGACTTGTATGAACCAGTGAGCTTGTGTTCTCCAGGATGCATAGCATTTTTAAAAAGTGCTTAAAGGTGCTTATTTTTGTATTTTAAAAGCCCTTAAAGGTGCTTTTTTCATTGGGTGTTTTTAAAAAGTGCTTGGTTTACCCTTTTTCGAAATGAGATTTCTCTTTTACTTTGTTGATTTTGTCTTCAAATTATGCAGTTCGCATTGTACTATTCAACGTTTTCAGAATTATTTCAACCCCAATCCATTTCGGTGTATTGTCAGTCCGTAGCGTATGTAAAAGCCATTCGTTTTACATGATTCAAAATTTCATGATTTTTTGCAATTGTGAAAAACAATGCCAAAATGTTTTTTTTTTTTTTTTTTTTTTTTTTTTTTTTTTTTTTTTTTTTTTTTTTTTTTNAAACAAGATAAAACCATCAATTGTCAAAAACTTTCCAATCTAGCCTAATTATGATTATGATAACCTATTTATGATAATATAAGTGCTTAAAAATATTTTTCTAGTGCTCGAAAAGTGCTTAAAAGGTGCTTATTTTTTGTTGAATAATTTGGCTACGCACCCTGTTCTCAGTTGATTAATGAATTTGATCATTCCTATTGAAGCATTTATCATTACATCATCAAACATTAACATTACTATCATTTTAACTATTTTATTAAACTAATTCGTTTAAATTATCTAAGAAAAATGTTTAATGGTACTTTCAATATAAATAGTAGAAATTGCAACTTATTTAGCTGTAATAATATTTAATGATGGTTGCAAAGGGTTATTGATATTTAGCAATAGATGTTAGCTCTGCAGCTTAGGAATATTCTCCAAATAAAGATGACTGCTGAATCTGGGCTGCTACTCTAAAATTATGTCAGACCTTATATGAGGGTAGATCAGCAAGAAAAAAGGCTGGGCTAGCACTTAAGACTGCTGAAAATGATGAAGATGAAGCATCTTTTAGATTCTGTATCTATGTTTTTTACAGGGAAGAATGTCTTCCTCGGAAATTTGCTTTTTCTCCCAATTTTTAAAATTTCCAAAAACTTAATTTTTAGAAGTCCAATTAACACAAAGCCCCCTCCCCTCATAACTGCAGAAACCCAAGCCTCCTAAACGATAGCTGTACTTCAGTGTTTCCCAAACGTATGACTTTTGTGTACCCTTTCTAAATGTTTCGTAACGCTGTGTACCACTAATAAAAAAATTAAAGTATTTTTTTAAAAATATGTTTACTTTTCTTTTTGGTACAAAGTTTTCGGTTAAAAATTCTTAAATTTTGGTAAAAAATTCCATGTTAAGGATAAAAATTCTATTTTATTAAAATAATCAAAATAAGTAGAATTTATTAGATACCTTTACTATAAAAAAATTGCGCAAAAGTTGAAAATCACAACTGACTGTTGACACCACTAATTATTAACTGTTAACGCTGCAAAAAATAGTGAAAGAAAAATACGTAATTGTAAATTTTCATGGCTGGCTTTGTTTTTAAATGACACTTTCGTTTGTTGCAAGATATTTCGTTTAAGAACACGTGCCCCCGCTAAACTGTTCCCGTACCCCTGGGGGTACGCGTATCACACTTTGGGAAACACTGCTGTACTTGGAACGTAACTTTTCCCCCTACAGTAGCCTCTTGAAAAATAATGATTGTCATGGGGAAATGGTGGAGCTTCAGCAGGTGCGCCGTTGCATTGACAACCGTGACTTCCACCGTGAGCGGGATGGATGAGGCTCTAGGTTGTTGAGTTCAAAGCAGTTTTGGCCTCCGATATTTGATCCAGGGTTTCCCTCCTTGGTGCAACGCAGTTTGAATATGCGCATTCGTACATTACATTTCTCTCAACTTTGCTAGTTCTTATTCTTGGCAGTTCCTGCGTTTGTCTGTGCACATATTTGTTTTTCATTTACTTGTGTCCTTTTCACATGGTGCATCGTAAGTTGAATGTATTTTAACGTTGGAAATCAATTTGATAGACGAACACAAAGTGTGCACGATCAATGCTGCTGAAAAATATAAATTCAAGTTTGATAAGTAAATAAAACAGTCAAAGTGACTAAAACTGTTAGTAACTATCTATCAAAAGATATTCAGGTGAAAATTGAAGACTTTTAATTTAAAATGATGATTATTAAGCCCTTACATATTGCTTAATTTTCTTTAATATAATAGTGGTAAAGGAGTTATATAATTATACTTAAGAAAAAAATAAATTTCACTGTCTAAATGTTCTGCCACTTTTAATATAAAATTAAAGTCTCACAGCAAAGTTAGAAGTTATGTTTTTATATATCTTATTGATTATCACAGTATTACATAAAACACTCCATCACCTCACCTCCCAGTGTCTACTTTGTAAAAGTTCAGCATTTGTTATTTTTGCCCATTTTCATGCGCGTTTATAGTTAGTTGCAAAATTTTATATATTTATATGGATTATTGATTTCAAAACTTTGAACGCAATTTACTCGAAACTATGTTTCTCTTACTTGCTGTATCTATAACTAGTGCATTTTTCAACCTATTTACTTCAGGCTTTGACACAATGTTCACAAGGAATATAGTTTTTGTTGTTACACATAGAGATTTTTAATTCGGTTAACTGGTTTAAAGCAATCCATTATAATGTAAATTATTTCTGTCATTTTTTCATTTTGAAAAAAAATCTTTAAAAAAAAGTTACTGCATGCATCGAAAACCATACCTGCCAAGTCTCCTGTTTTTTTTAATGAAGACTCCTGTATTTTACAACTATCTCCTGTTTACCTGTATATTCTCAAATTTTTCCGCATTTGTTGAAGAAATTTGAAGGGGGAAAAAAATTCTAATAAAATATCCACTGATGGTAAAAATACTTCTCTTATTCCTCAACAGATGGTGCTACTGCCAGTACTGCGGTACGTTGAGTGTTACTAGTTAAAGTCGAGCCGGGGTGGCTTAGGGGATACAGCATTCACCTTCCCATGAGGTGAACCCAGGTTCGAATCCCAGCGATGACTGGTCGATATGAGTAGTCGTTAAAGCCCGAAATTGGGTCAGATCTCCTTTATTTTATTTCTCCAATGTTGGCAGGTATGGAAAACTACATACATGTAGTTTAAAAAAATCAAAGTCAAATGTAGAAAAGATATGGCTTCAACTATTATACGTGAGAGAATAACAAATTAAACAAAATAACCACAATAAATATACCAGGTTTTTTTTTAGTTGTTTTTTGCATTTTTTTTCAATACACTTATAAATTACTTTTAAAATTTGTCATGTACCTAAATTTCACAATACTTTGTACAATTGCTGTGATGTTATTTGCAGTGGAACTTCTTCGAGAGATCACCTCTATGGAGAGTCCCATAAAGAGCAGTTTTTGAAGGGTGACAATTTTTTACCCTATCAAATTAATGTAAAAAAAAAATCCTTCTGTGAGTGACCAGAAAACCTTTCATATACATATGCTCACACACACAAACAAGGTGTCCCCTTAAATGTGACTACAAACTTTTAGTGGAGGTCGGGCACTTCAAAAGAATTAAGCAACTCGTGCCCCTAAGTGTCACCCTATGCCGTTAGGGCGCTTTTCTAGTATAAACGCATTGTTTGTGCGCCTTTTAACCAGTACTTNTGAGGTTTTTGACGTGATGGTTTAAACCATGGTTTAAATTGTCAAAAACTGTCACATGTCAAAAACCTGCCAACCCTGTCTAAAACATCTTAATTTCCTGTTAATTTTATGTTTGTGTTCTAATAACTTCAAACTAACTCAAAATATAATAACAAACTAACTTGTCAAAAATTGCATTCAAATTGGCTTAGTTGCCAAATCATTCAATTAAATTATGATTATTATTTTCCCTTAATCATTCAATCCTTATGATTTGCCCTACCTCCCATAGAAGTTGAGCATTTATGGGACACCCTGTGTATATACATATATAAAAAGAAAAAAACAATAGCTTTCTTTCCAAAAAAATTTTCTGGCATTAAATTTATTAATAAGCAGATTCCAAAACAGTGAGTCAAGCTTGATCTACAGCAGGTGTAAGAAGGAAAGACTTACTAAAAAGTCGCATTTGTGATAATTTCTAATTTTCTGTTGCATTTGAAGCAAATTTCCGGGATGTAAAGACAGGATTCCCACGGTACTTGAAAGTCCTTGAATTTGGTTGAAAAAAATCAGGGCTCTGAAAAGTCCTTGAATTCTGCCATAGGGTACTTGAAAAGTACTTGATTTTTTATGAATTAAAGTAATACTAGTCATTATTACAAAAAAGCGGTAAAATTATAATGAAATAGCGGTAATTCAAATGAAAATTAAGGAAATTCTGATAGATGCAATTTTTAATGCTTGAAGTGAAAAGGGGTTTAAGAAGATGCAAAACTTTTCTCTCCTAGATTTTTCACACCAGATCATCTCTCTGATGTTTTGAAAATTGAAAGTTCTAACAAATTTTAGGTTTTATAGTCATAGTTTTTGAATGATATGTAGTGTTTAATCAGGGTATCATATCAGGGTGCAGTATATCAAATATTTATAACAAATCGGCCCCATTTCCTGAAACTTATTTTTCCAGCCAAGTTTTGACAACTACCCCAGCTGCTACATGGCGGTCCAGTTTTAAAAAATATGCAATAGATGAAAGTTTCACAAATCTTGCTTGTCCCTTGATGGCAATGCCTGCTAGTTCTGCTGGACTTGAGAGAATCTTCTAAAATTTCTCGTTCTTGCATAGCAAATTGAGAAATTGTTTAGGTTTAGAAACTGCATCAAAACTTGTCTTTTGTTATAGATTAATGCAGTGTGCAGACAATGTAATATTTGACTTTGAATGGTGATAATTTTGTAAATAAATAGTACTTTGTTTAACATTTAATTGTTTTTTTTTATGAATTATGCATTTTATGTCAATCTCAGTACTTACTTTTATGTCATTTTCTGAATTTCTGCCAGTTTCTGCCACAAATGTGGCAGGAAAGGATTTCTGCCATGCCAGTTTTAACCGGTTTCTACCAGTGGTTTTGACTACCTCGGCAGAAGCTTGCCAACCTTGTGTTTAATCGATGTAGAAATATGTTCGATGTGTTAACCTCATTATTATGACAGGTTAATATTGTTATCCTATTTGTTCTGTTAATTTATGTACAAAGGATAATGAATTTTTTATCATTTATAATCCAATTTTTACATTAAGTTTTTGCTACTAATAAATAAAATTTAGTTCTACAGGTTTCAATGATTATAAATAAATATCGTGATTCACATTAAACTGATTCTTGATTTACAGATCAGAATTCATAAAAAATGTTCTATGAATTGCAATTTAAATGAAAATGATTAATGAATGACATGTGGAATATTACTTTAAAGTGATTTGCTAATTACTCGCCAGGATTTGTATTAAGGTATTTTATAAATCACACATCATGATTTTAATTAAAGTTATTTCTGAATTGTATAACAAGATACGTATTTAAGTAATTTCAGAATCATGCCTCACAATTTTCATTCTAGTAGTTTACTAATCACGCATTGCGATTCACAAAAGGGAGATTTAAGAATTACTACTCTCAATTCTCATCAAACTGATTTAAGAATCACACATAGCTGTTCTATATTAAGCACCTTTTGAATCACAAATTGCAATTTGCATTAACGATCACTATTCACATGAAAACTATTAGCTAATCACGCAAAAGAATTTAGATCAAAGTGATTTATGTATCACACATTGTGATTTACGTCTTGTTACTTCGTGCATTTATATCATTTGCTATTCATATTGTTCCTATTTAAGAAACATACTCCACTATTCAATTTACAAACCACGTATTGGGATACATGATTTATACTATCTTCGAGACTTACTTCACCCTGTTCAAAATACATTACTGATATTCTGAAGTAACAAAATAGGTAATTTGTTATTAAAATTGAAACAGATATGTTAAGCGGATATATTTTGATATTTTATCTAGTTATATCATTCCTGTAACTTAAAATTTCATCTATCATTTCCTGTAACTTAAATTTTAATCTAACATATTAAAAAAAAACGTACAGTAAAACCTGTCTATAACGATACTGTAGGGACCTAAATAAAATGTTGTTATAGGCAGGTTATCGTTATAGACAGGTTTGAAATTTAAAAGTATACGTTTAAAACTAATGATAAATTAAACTTCTTTTATAGGCTCCAAATGAAAATTTTACTTAGAATTATGAAACAGCACACAAGAAAAATTTACTTACAATTTTATGAATCAAAACAGAAATTATTTAGAAAAATAATCGGTTAGTTTTGTTTGCTTATTTTTGGAAGCAATTGCCATTTCCATGCACATAGATTTCAGTCCATCTAATGAATTCAAATGAACATCAGTTACATTTGGTAATGTTGCAACAAAATCTTGCAAAGTGTTAATTAGCAATATGGCATTCTCGGGTGAAATTTGAGTCCTGTTTTGAGAACAGTCAGCTGCTTCTTCCTCATCACTTTGATCACCCGGGATAACTTCTGCTAAAATCTCTTCATAACTTTCACCACTGAAAACCAACACATCATTATCTAAATTTAAAAATTCATCTGCGTTAAATAGAAATGATGTATTAGATGACCTTTGGAAATCACTGACAATCGAATTTAAGCCTGCCACAAATTTTTCTTCTTCATCAGTGATTTCAGTTCCAACGGTAGAAAAATCGGAATAGAACTATCAACTATCAAAAGAGGAAAAATTATCGTTGTAGACATGTTTACCTGAAACGTGGTTATCGCTATAAACAGGTTAAAAATACATTGAGTAAATAGGAATTTCACCGAGACCTCAAGGAAATATCGTTATAGACAGTATCGTTATACACAGGTTTCACTGTATTTATATTTTAATAACCGTGCAATTACACAAACCTTGTCAATTATTTACTATGCTTCTTTAATGTAATATGCATTATTCATTCATTTAGCTTCATTAATTCTAATTCACTTCATTAAATTTTTCATGAAAAGTTTCATTGATACTAGTTTTTAAATGTTGGCTAGTATCCTATGTCGATTAGAGTTTGTTTTTTTTGTCTATTGGAATTTTTCAAAGTGATTTGAAAGAGCAATGCAACTTTCAACCATTTGTATTATTAGCTGATAAATTTAATAAATATTTTTTTTTTTGTCAAATAATCATTGTGCTTTAAAGATATAAAATTTTTGTTTCAACGTAATTGTATAATCTGGTTGACATGTACTTTAGCCTATAACTGTAATAGGTCCTTGAATTTTATTTAAAAATTGAGTGAGAACCCTGAAATAAGAAAAGAACACTTTGGAGTATTATACAATATAGTACTAATTAATAGTAGCACATAAAAAATGCCAGCTTACTGCAACGGAAATTCGGAGAAGCTAGTGGATATTTGGGATTCAGAAAAACCCATATCTATAAAATTTCAAAAGATAAGGTGGAGAAATTATTAGAGAAAATGAAAACTTAGTTTTTGAGAATTGTATAATGCTCATTGAAAATGTCTATAATATTACTTTTATAGTATATGATACTCAATTAATGACAAAATGAACTCAAGTGTTTTTTGTTTGTCTGTTAAATTTTTCATTAGAAGATGCTATTAATTTGTAAATGTTTATAAGTAAATTGTCTTAGCAATTCAATGTAGACAATTCTTTGAGAGATCATCATCATATTTGGCTAGATAGCCCAGAGAGAGCCAGGGTCTTCTGAATTCTACTCCACTGCATTCTATTTTTAACACTTGTACGCAAATTTCTTTCCTGGGTGGCAAGGAAGTCAGTCTCCACTAACTCTATTGTTCTCAATCTGGGTCTACCCTTTTTTCTGCTTGTTACTGGTTTATGTAAACGATTATTATTTTATTTTATTTTTTTATTTTTATTTTTTTTTTTATCATCCTGCTGCTGTAAAACTAACTGAACTGCCTTAGTACCCTAAAAGGGTAACACTTTTTTAAGAGATCACCTCTCTTAAAAAGAGTTTTTTTTTCCTTGAACTAAAGTGGTCTCTTCCGAGTTTTATTGTAGTAAGTTAAAAAATATATGTTTAAACTAACCATAAAAACTTATATGTTAAGTAATATTCCAAATGCAAAGTTTATTAATTTTTTTTCGTGATGAAATAGTACCTTTAGATAATTCAATTAAATTTCCATTGCTGCAAATTTTTAAATAAAATTCCTATCCTGAAATGTTTTGAGATAAAATTATTGCTTTAAATTTTTATTATATCATATTTAAGAACTATTAAGCTTATTGCTTTAAATCATCAAAGAAATAGTTTATTTGTTTTCAATAAAAACATTTCTGTTACAAAATTTATCCTGGCAGGTTATATACTAGTCCTGCCACTGTCATATAAAGTTCAGATTATTTAAATCTGCACTTTTTTTAAATTTAGTCATGTTTGTTTTTTTAACAACATTACCTATAAAAATAACTTTTTCTAGTTTCAGATGTGCTTCTAGAGGACATCGATTAAATATTTGAAAGATAAAGCGGATATGAGTGGCTTCTTTTATGAATGTTTTGCCCATGAGTTACTGATTACTATTTTATATTTAAAGTAAGTTTTACAAAATTTTATAAAATCACTGAATTATAATTTTTTTTCTTCCTCATCTAAGCTTGGTACCATAAGAATCTGGTTAATTTTTTAGATTTATTTCCTCTTAAAATTAATAATAAAATATTCTGGTCCCAATATCCAATTTTTCAATTTGTAGCTGTTATATAATATTTCTGCTTTGAATAATAAATTATATATATATATATAAAGTTCAAAATGAAGATAAAACAAAGGAAAATTACAGACATATGAAAAAAGGGGGGAAAGAAAAATAATATAAAGAAAATAAATAAAAAATAACAAGCAACTAGGGGGGGATAAAAAGATTAAAAAAATTTGAAAAATCCAGAAAATAAACTTTTCATCAGCCCACACGATTATATCCGCAGAAAAGAGTGCTTTCTGATATTGTATCAATATAGCTAAAGCAAAATATATTAATACAATAGTGTGAGGAACCCTCAAAAAAAATTTTTACAATAATTACAACAAACAAAATAATACAATATGTAAAAATAACATGTAAAAACAGAAAATAAAAGAAAAAACAGAATAAGACAAAATCAATAAAGCGAGTAGCGAATTCAAATGTACTTACAGGAACGGGAAATTTTTCAAGACTGATTTAAAAAATATTTTTGTAACAAGATTGCCAGAGAGCAAAATATGAAAACAAAAGCGCAAATTGAGCATAACTAGAGGAGTTATGTTTTAAAGTGCCATTCTTACTGCATTGCTGAAGTGCGTTTGATTTGTTAGTTACAAAGGATGGGCCCAAAATGGATCTGCGCAAGGTAATTTTATACTGGATAATTTAAAGAAAATGACCATAAATAATTTTAGAAAATAAATATTTATTTAAGAAAAAAAATAGAAAAGAGAAACATGAATTGCCCGTTTTGCACATAATTTTAGCTATGGATTTGCTCGAAATGGATTCGCACCTGAAAAAATTTTATAAATTAACAAAGAAAAAAATTTTTAGTATATAATTTTAGCCACGGATTTGCCCGAAATGAATTTACACATGGAAAAATTTTATAAATAAATAAAGAAATTTTTAGTAAATAATTTTGGCAACGGATTTACCCGAAATGGATTTGCACATGGGAAAATTATATAAATTAACAAAGAAAATTTTTAGTAAATATATCCAATATAAATTAACAACTTGTTGAAACTTATTGTTTTTCTTAATTTTATTCGTGTTTTTTTTGTATTTATTTATTTTGTTATATATATATATATGTAAGTTCAAAATGAAGAATAAAACAAAGAAAAATTATAGACAAATGAAGAAAAAAAGGGGGGGAAATAAGTAAAAAAATAACAAACAACAGTTTAAAAAAAAAGGGATGAAATTTTATTTTAAAAAACCACACAAAAAAAAAGGATAAAAAAAAGATATAACCTTTTCATCAGCCCACACGATTATATCCGTAAAACAGAGTGCTTTCTGATATTGTATCAATAAAGCCAAAGCAAAATATATTAATACAATAGTGTGAGGAGCACTCAAAAAATTTTTTTATAAAAATTACATCAAATAAAATAGAACACAAAAAGTAAAAATAACATGTAAAAACAGAAAATAAAAGAAAAAGAAAAAACAGTTTAAAATGGACTATAACTATAATGGACTATATTCTCAACTTTCTTCGTGTTTTCTTGTATTTATTTTATGTGTGTATGTATGTATATATATATGATTATTAACTACAAATAGCCCTAAGATTGAGTTAATTGAACCCTCATTTTTTAGGAATGAATGTTCCAATGGTAATATGCTTCTCGATCTAACATTGTACTTGATCTGATAGTTTATGACGTATTAAAATAAAAAAAATTTCTCCTGAAACTCTTTTGTACTTTCAGCTTCCAGGCAGACTTGCATTTTGGCGTTGATTTTTTTTATAAAATATTTTTAACTTTTCAAAAAATCAAACCCTTCCTTCCAAAAAACATTCATTGCAAATCTTTAAAGGCTCTTAAGCATGTTTTTAGCATTATAAATATTTTATTTCTTTTTAACTTTTCAATTGCAATGTGTCCAAAATAAGCATTGACAGTTTAAAAATTAAAAAGAAAATATAATGTTGTTTGTATATATATATACATAATGTTATTCTTAAACATAAACATTGAAAAAATAAAACATGAACTTAATGTATGATTTATTTTTGAAAGAAATAAAACATTAGAATAAAAAATTTATGTGGTACAAAATATTAAAATATTTCATTACAAACTCTACAATTCATTCATAAATGGAGAAAAAAAGTTACTTCTTTTGTAGCATCACCTTTAGTTTTGACAACTACATATAAACAGTGTTACATGCAATTAACAAGTGTTTGGCAATTTTCTTTCCACTTTAAGTCTCAGTAGTCTTAGTGCTTTTCACTAGCTCAACTTTGTTTATTAGAGCAACTTCTTATAGTTTTTTTAATATCCATAAATTACCAATTGGAGTAAGATCTGGTAAATTAGATGGCTACAGTTGCATTGTAATTTTGCATTAAGTCAGATCTTAAAATATTTTAATGTATGACATGAGGCTAGTTGTAAAATAAAATAATCCTCATTTGTGCTCATGCAATTCCATGCTACCACACTAGCTTCAAGTTAAAAAAATTTATGAACATAATTACTTGCACAGCATCATGATTTTGTGAAAATGAATCAAAATTTAAAAGTTAATCGAACCCTGTTATGGTTCAAAATTTTTTTTAAAAAATTTATGTTAACCTCTTTTTTACTGTGGTGTTGTAGACTGTAAAAGGCTCTTAAAGTCACTTATATTTTAATTTGATATATCTAATTTTGTATATCCAGGTATGTAAATTTTGTGCTATATTTTTTATTTTTTTATTCTAGGAATGGATCAAGAACGATGTGCACTTATTAGTAAAGATGATATCAAGAAAGGTAAAAATAAAAATTAATAATTTATACTGATTCTGCGTCATTTACTGCTATTAAAAAGTTTTGCAGCCAAAATGTTAACTCGAAAGATTAAAACTAACAGTTTTAATCTTTTAGAATAGTGGGGGCAAGGATAGAGTCATTCTTATGAATTAAAATCAAATCAAATATACTAATTATATACTAATTAATAAAACATCAAGTAAATGGACTATTGAACAATAATTTCAGACTTTTATTGAGTGGGTTATATAAAAAAATTAGCATCAAAAAATTTATCATTAGAGATTGATTGATTGTAAAATTGTTTTTGGGCTCTTGAATAATTCCATGAAAGAAAAAAGAACTTAAGTATTGAAATTTTGAACAAACTAATAGAAAGAATAATGACTTAATTTTTCTTTACAATATTGTTTTTTTTTTCTCTCTCTCTCTATCAGCAGCGTAACTGGCTGAAAGCTTTATTACGAATTATAAGTATTAAATGTTTCTTGTGGCGAGGTTTCATTTGAAAATGTTTCAGTGCTGTGATTTGTGAGTGACACCCCTTAGTCTTTTTATCAAACTTTTGTCTTATTATTTTTATCAAAACTTTCCAATGTTATTAATTTTTTACAATATTAAATTTGTTAGTTTGTAATATTCAGTATATTCAACAAAAGTGTTCTTCATGTTTTTAAGTTTTTGTCTTTTCTTATTTATCTATCATATAGCTGATTTCTTTACTGGCTTATTTCAGCTTCTCCTGGTTTAATCAAAAGTTCACTAGCTTTTAGTATAATTTTGAAAATTCTCGTGAACTTGGGAAACTCCTGAAAAGTTTCTCATCAAAATAGTCTTATACTCAGTTGTTGAAAATCTTTAAAAAGTAATATATCCTGCGGGAGAATATATTACAAATTATTTCACGTAAAACTTTCAATATACTTTAAAATATGTTGTTTTCTTTGGTTAGGTATGCTTAATATTCTAAGTGTACAGTAGCATGTGTGGATGCCCTAGCCTTTTAATTTTAGTTGCCCCTGAATAGATAAGTGTTATGATTGAAGAAGGCAGGAATAACTTTATTAAATGTAAGAGAGAAAATAATTGTAAAAATTTAAAGAAATCTAAATCTGTATTTTAAATTAATTTTCAATGAAAAAAAGAAGCTGAGATTTGTTTTGTTATAAATGAGTTATTTTTAACAAATTATTCTTAGTTTTTACTTAAATGTAAAAAAATGTTTAAGCTTTGTCTTCAATCTTAAGAATTTGTTAATTTATTTCCCTATTAAGATCTTTCGACAATTGAATGCCTGTCTAAACTGTCTCTCTTGCCACTGAAAGTGAAATAAATATTTTATTAATGAATTTCTCTTCTTTTTCAGAGAAAGTGCACTCTACAGTTATAGATGATATAAATGGTGATTGTGTTGATTGTGATGAATGCGGCTGGGAAAATATATATGACATCACTTCTTCCTCACTTATAAAATCACCTCTTATATCCGAACTCTTAAAATCACATGGTCTTTTAAGAAATGGTCATATTGAAAATAAGGATATATATGATTATTGTGATGAGAGTGAGGTAAGTAATGTTACCTAAATATTACTCAAAATGAATAGTTATGTTTCCAAAATAGCAATTTTGGAGATGCTATGTGTGTTATAAAACCTGTAGTCCATGTACATGATAATGTCATTTATTACATTAGTAACCAGACAACAAATGAAAGCCTGGACAACTGAGTGCTTTCTTGTACTTTTCTTGCACAGAGTCACTACTATCTGCTTATTTGCATACTGCTGTCACATGGCTTTTGGCAGTCTTAAATCTTTTATTCTGTCTAAGGGTGCAACATAGGTTGTTTAAAAAGTATTGACAATAGATGTGGGCAAATGTGGTGGATGATCCACAAATCATATCAATTGATATTTTTTTAACAAAATCAGTCCTGAAATATTGCATTGTTTAATAAATTGTCAATTGTTTTTTTATCCAAACTGGGATACATATTTTCCTGGTTTACACTTACAAATAGAAAATAAGATCCTCTTCTAATGTTTGCTGCTAGATTGTTGACTGAAATTTAAAATTTTGTATTCTTTTTTAACAGCTTTGTCCAATAGATGATAGTTTTGGTCCTCCTTCATTCCTGCGTATCTATTCATTCCAACCGTATTTAAATAATACTACCGTAGATGATGATGAAAATGAGAAAGGAGATTACAGGTGTGGTTGGAAAGACTGCGATATATGTTTTGAATGTAGAAAAGATCTTGCTCAGCATGTTAATAGTACACATGTCTATCAAGATGAAAATTCTCTATATCGTTGTCAGTGGAGTGGCTGTACACGACAGGGGAAAGCCATCAATGCTAGGTTTGTTTTCTTCAATAACTTGTTAAATACTTCAAAGTATTCATAAAAAAATGCTTAGTGCATGAATTCCTGAAATAATTTCTTTTTCAAATAAATTGTTGAGAGAATAAACTTTTTTTAAAACTTTATTATAGTGTTTATTAATTTCAAATCTATATATTAAATACTAACAAATGTATGTCAGACGTTCATTTTTTTTAAACATTTCTGGTTTTTTTAATTGTGTCTTATTTGAACCTTAAAAGATTGAGAGCATCTATAGATATAATTTGAAAAGCATCAATTTCCACTTCTCTTAAATGCCATTTAATCTGCAGAGTAATTCAGCACAGCCACTACATACGTAAAGGAAAGATAAGACAGATTATAAAGATCCGGAATTGAATCGCAACCTATAGCCTGAAATGTCATTATTTACCTCCCTATTATAAACTAGCTGATAGTGTACGTTTAAATCCCTAGTTTTAGCTATCTAAATCACAGTCATTAATCAATATTAATGTGTAAAAATTGTCCTTAAATTTTATTTCCCAGCCTTGTAATAGGTGACATAAAAGGAACAAATTTTATGAAATTAACTGCACTAAATTAAAAAATTGTTGTAAAACACATGATGTTTGAAGATCGGCGGGAAAGAACAGTTTATGTCCATGAAAGCGGATTCTGAGAAAAAATGACAAGCACATGGACCAGAATTATTTTTTCTATTGAACAGCCCATTTATTTTCACTTTGTAATTACTCTCGAAGAGAACCAGTTTTCTATGTTATTGATTTGTCCAAACTTAGTAATCCTCAAGATGCAACAAGATCTGATCGTCATTTCTGTGAAAAAAATTGACATATATCATTTTTTCCCCTTGATCTTCATGCGCTCATGGCAATTAATTTTCTGTCCATTCCTTAAAAGTTAGGAATTTCTTTAGCCAATTACATGATCTTTGTTAAATTACTGACATTTATTGTTCTTGTTTTATGTTACCAATGTAACCTAAAGTAAGATCTTTAACATGATAACAGCTATATTCATTCTGTAGCTGGTAACATTATTGGCTATTACAATCTTAGCAATTGAAAATTTCATTTACGATATTAAATTGCTATTTGTGGAGTTATTTCTGGGAGACCACCTTGTTAGAAAAAAAAATTACTAATGACTCATTTATCTATTAAGTAGTTTCATAGACTCTATATCTTATTTCGCATTTTATGCTTTTTTTGTGGTATTAGTAAAATAGCATGCAATTCATCAAATATGAAACATTATAAATTACTACTATCATTCTTAATTACAACTATCACTCTATGTACTACTCATAAATTACTACCATCATAAGCTTACTATCATTCTCACATGCCTTTTTCAAGACAAAGTCTATCATTTGAACTTGGAATAGTTAGTCTAATAAATTGTCTAATTTCTTTCCTATTTGTGTTCTCTACTTTGTCCTTCATAATTTTTGTCACTTCCAATTTTTCAGGTTTTTCTCTGCATGTCTGATTTAATACCAGTTAAATTCAATTTAAAAATCGGTAATTGTGAAAATTAAAAAAAGTCTTTTATTTTATTATTCTAAAAATTGCACCTATAGCAACTGATCAAAATGGCAAAAGAAGCAAAACATATGTCTCATGAATGGTTTGGAATTCTTAGGTATGAGAATAAATAGGGTTTTCTTATTTTTATTTATTTTTTTCTTTGCAAATGCACCGAAATTGTTCAGTGTTTCTAAGGGGCTTGTATATTTGAATATGATAATACAAGCATTCTTTTAATGTTATGAGTACATTTTTTACCTTAAAGAGATCTTATTGAAAATATCATTTTGTCTTCCATCTTCTGTATCTGTAAAAATGTATTTTTCTTTTATATCAGGTACAGAATGTTGATTCATGTTAGGACACATACTCATGAAAAACCTCATGGATGTGAATTTTGTGGGAAAAAGTTTTCAAGACTTGAAAATTTAAGGATTCATATTCGTTCCCATACAGGTAACTGATAAAGTTGCTAAATTATTTTATTTATTCAGCATTTCTCTGGTAAGATTTGGTAATAGTATTTATAAATTAATAACTGAATGAATGGAAAAAAATATTTTACTTAAAAAAATCTGCAAATTTTACTTTTTTATGTTTTTTAAATTATGATAAATGTTCAGATTATCATGTATTCAAAGTGAATTAAATGTTGTTGGGGAACATTACCCGTATGGTTCCGGAACTTCAGACAGTTCTCCAAGGCGTTGTGTTTTATTAACACCTATTTTATCTAGTTATTGATGGTTCTTAATGTTTTTCAAAATCTTTAAAAAGTTAGTAAAAATCCTTGAGAAGATTTGCATTAAGTCCTTCAAAGGTTTTTTTTTTTGTGTAAAGTGCCTTTTTTTATTCTTTGCGTATTTCATTTATCATTTTGCTCATTTCAATGTTTTACATTATCAGCACATCATTGCTTAAAATTCTTAAATCTTGGAAAATCAAAAAAAAAGAAATTGTTGATTCAACTTTGATTATTAAAGGAATTAAAAAAGAAAATATTTGCTTTTCAGTCAGAAATCAGTCCAAAGAAGGTCTGTTGCTTAGAAACTTCGAAATATTTATTTATTAACTATTGATAGCGTATCTGTAATCGTGGCACACTTTCTTCTTTTTAGCATCTAAGTGTGACTTTCTTCATTTTAGCACCTCATACCTGGAAACTGTTTAATAAAAACTCCATTAACTTAAGTTACAAAACAGTCTCTTTATATTCCAATTTTTGAATTGTTTTTCAGGTGAGAAACCTTATGCTTGTCCTGTAGCTGGTTGCACTAAAGCCTATTCTAACTCCAGTGATCGTTTTAAACATTCTAAAACACACCAGGAAGACAAACCATATGTGTGTAGAGTTGAAGGATGTGACAAAAGATATACTGATCCAAGCTCATTGCGAAAACATATGAAATCTAATGCCCATGGAGGTGACAGTAAACAAAAACCTGTTGCTTCTACTGTGCCTGGAATTCAGAATGGGGTTGTCAAAAATTCCAACAATGTCAATGATACTGGTAGTTCCTTAAAAATTTCCACTCCTAAAAAAATTTTATATCAACCATATGCTTGTAAAACTGAAGGCTGTAATAAAAGATATACTGATCCAAGCTCCCTTCGTAAACACCAGAGAGCTACATCGCATGGCCGTGATCCTAATACATGGAAACCCAAAATGGGCTCTAAAGCAACACAGAATAAAGGAAATGTTCTAAAATCTCAGGTACATAATGGTGCCAGTAAGGAGACTACTAATGTATCAACCAAAGAAATTTATGATCCATATGTATTGGAAACTACGACTACTCAGAAGAAGGATGGTAATGATCCAACACCTTTGGATTTAAGTATTAGCTATACTTCCTCTGATGAATGTTGCTTACAACTGGCACTTGAGCAAAAAAAATTAAATTCCTGACTGGGTTTGATCAAAATTTATATTTAAAACTATATTTTGTTATGAGATACTTTGTATAAACATATTTTATCTATTTTCATATATCTATATAAATAATATATAAAAATGTTACTACAAATGGATTTTTTTGTACTACTTTAATTTATATTTTAGCTTTATAGAGAGCTCTAAAAAGCAGCCTTAATAAGCACAGGTATATTTACAGAAGTTTATGTACTACTTATTAATCTAATTGTAGTTAAAATATGTATGTGGGCATGTGTATAAAAATTAACTTTATTTGTGCAAGCACATAAGGACTAAAAGCTAATTAAAATAGTATAAAATTATTAGATTTTAAAAATATTTTTTAAAATTTACTCACCTTTTTTCATAGACATGTGCAAATCATAACATGTGTTCAATTATGGCTGTGATAATTTTATGTTTTTGTAAGTAAGTAGAATGTGTTTAAGCACATGTTGTATGATATAAATTTAGTTTTATATACATTATTTATATTTTCTTTAGAGACTTATTTGCAAAACCAAAATTATACAATTTGTTAGGGTATAATTGCTATATACAGACACAGGTTTGCAATAGACTGCAGGTTTTTATTGTTCTCTTACAGTAATATAAACTTACATGTGTATAAATAGGTAGTATGTTATATATATATTTAAGTTATTCTTACTATTCTATAAATTTAGAAAATTATATTGTTTTGTCATACTTAATATTCAGAAATAGGTTTTTATGTTAACTTCACTTCAATATCTTTTTTGATTATTCAATGATAATTTTGATTTTCCAAGTTCAATAAATTTTTGTGTCACCTTAATTTGGAAATAAATGTATATAATAAATACTATAAATTGTATAAATAATATGAAACCCTAGTTTAATTAATTGCTTCTGATTAATTTAATCTTGACCAATTCCAATTAAAACAATGAGAGGTCAACTGTAAGTGGTTGATAATATGAGTACAAATACATATTAAGGTAATGCAAAACAAAGTTAATAAAATATTACTCTCATTACTTTGTTTCTATGTTATTTTACTAATAGCAAAAATAAAATCAAAAGGTGGAGTCTAAACTATAACTTTTGGTGACAGTTTTAAACATGTAGTTTCAAAAATGTTATATTAAAATCACACTGAATGTCAGTTTCAAGGAAAAATTTGGGGATCATAAAACTTGAAAAATATTCTTTTTTTTTTCTAATTTCTTTTCCGTCATTCACTAATCATTTTATTAATTTATCCTTTTGACTCTTAGTGAGGATAGTGTATTTTTATGCCAAGACCAATGAGAGGTTTATACATTTTTCAATTTTGAACTTGTTTAGAATTGCTGTAAATTTACAACAAAATTTATTTGTTGCTGGCAGCTGTTGACACTCATGGATTCTATTTATTGTCTATTAAAATAAATGATGTGTCCATAATTCTCAAAAGGTAGTGTGAAATAAAATTATATTCAAAAATATATTAGGCATTTTGCCAACCTTACAATTAATGAAATTGAATCAGATAACGAGTATTATTTTCAAAACACTTGTTGTGCAATTGATATAAGCTTCTTCCCAGACATTTATCATAGATTCAAAAGTCTGCTATATATATCCAATACAAATTTATAATTCTGCTCACTTAAGTATGTAGAAATTTAAATCTCTTTTGCGATTTTTATTTCTGCTTATTATGCATGTGCATCTGAACTACAATATCAAATTGGCCGTAAATACTTCTAAAATTAACTAACATCATGAATTTTTATTTTTTGATGCTATGATAATGATTTGTATACATTTTTCATTTTTTTTCAATGGAATATTCTTTTGCTTTTTATATTTTTTACACAAGTTATACACACTGCTCACATACATAATAAATGCATATGGATTGTGGCTGTATACCCTAAATTGTACTCTAGTGTTTGTGTTGGGCATTTTCCAGTTTCAGTCATGTATTTTTGCTTAAAATAAGAAAAAAAATTAGATTTTTATCTTTAAAGTGTATTATATTTCTATGTTTACACTTTAAAATTCAAGAAAATAAAATTTCTTTTAATATTTAAGAATGTAAATGATAATACTTTTAAGAAATTTACATGTGTGGGAAATCTTAAATAGCTTTCCTTACTTTTATACTGTCCTTTCTCATTTCTATAATTTTATTTAAATATTAAACCTGAATGTCACAAGATGTTATTCAATGATTTTAATTGAAAAATGTCATAAATTAAATAATTAGATTGCTGCAGTCAGTGGCGTAGCCAGAGGAGGAGAAATAGATGTCAACCTCATAGGAGTTGGAAATGTCAGCAAGAACTTTTTGATAAAAAAAAATTTTGGGGTTGTAAGTTTTTATTTTTCTACATTATTCTATTGCTAATATAACAACAACAAAAAATTCATACTTTAATTTTTCTAAAGTTTGAGAACTTCCTTAAATAAGGGACAATAATAAAGCAAAAGTTTTCATCCTTGCTATCATATTAGAAAATACTATTACTTTTTCTATAATATTTGATGTAACAAAAAATTTAGCGTATAAATATTGTTTGATTGAAAAATTTTGTTACAAGTTTACAACCTTCAATGCCGTCCAACAGTTTTTCAAGTTATATAGTGAAATATGTGCTTTGAAAGTCGGTTGTGTGTTAAAATAAGGAAAAGTTGATTTTCATAGCTAACAAGTAGAAACAATGATTAGTGCTGTACAAAAAGAAAACTAATTTAGTATAACTGCTATATTTTTTAATGGAAAAAATATAGTACATAAGGGTTTCCAGAAGATATGAAAACTTCACAAATTATCATAACATTTGTAGACACGTAACACACCAACTTCTCTAGATGGTTCACAGGTCATTTCACCATTCTCACTTCTCTGCCAGTTTCTTTACATCCCAGTTATCTTCAATTTAAAAACTACATAAACTAATAAATTTTAAAGAAAATTAACCTTCATTTTTGATGACCAAATTTAATTCATTTGACATCTCACCCTCAATTCGAATTCCTGTTTTCGAATTTGTAATCAATGCGTCTACTAAATATTTTAGATTAAATACCAAGCTCTTTCATCGCTTCATTTTTTTTTTCTCTTTTAAGGCTATCAAAAGGACTTTGAAAGTCAATAAATAAATAAGAATATGTCTTTGTCCAAAAAAAAATTATCAGTGACTATTTCTGAGAAAACCACTCTGATAGTTCTGTATTTGAGAGTCAACAAATAAGTTTTTTTTTAAGCTGAAATAAGTCAAATTTTTTTAATAGTCTTATTTTTTCCTCTTCAACTATGTTCATTTTCCAAAATTGTAATAGCTCTAAGTTTGTTATGCCACATAATGAGTAAATGAATATCATCTTATTTTTCTCCCTATTGAAATCCCTCTTCTGTGTAACCTCAATTATTATTCCTCAAAATTATCAACATGCTGTTACAATATCATCTATAACAACAAACTTCTCATAAATATCAGTTTCTTTCATTTAGATTTATTAAATTGGCATATCAGTTAATATTAACTTCATTGGTAATGGATTATTTGGGCTAATTCTTTTCACGCATAACTTCTTCTTTCTTATTCCTATGTCAGTAAGCGACTCATAAAATTAGGAATTGGGATTCAAATAAATATTTTATAATATTTAGAAATGTAAAATAAAAATATTTAATTAGTAAAACACATTAGGAAATGAAGGGGAAATTCAAATTTTTGCAGGACATAAAAGTTTACGATATCAAAATTTTTCATGCTGTCAAAAAAGGTTTTGTTAGCAGAACTATTTTAATGGTGAAAACATAGTATTAATTAAATGAGTTTTTGGTGAATTGATTGTATTAATAGAGTTAACTATCACCAATATCAGTTATGTTAATAATATGGGGCTAACTTCTATAATTTTTGCTACGCCCCTGGCTGTTGCAGTTATAATGCATTTAAAGATTGCTGGTATGTTTAATAAAATACCCTATACAAAAATTTTATTTATTATACATTCTAACTTTAATCTTTAGTTAATTGTGATTTGTGCTTCATTAGTTATATGTTATTTATAATGTTTTATCATTAATATAAAACATACTTTATCTAGAACTACTTCTTACTTATTATTTCTCATATAAGTTTCTGATGTAAAATTATAAATATTAGTAGGTAAGTTTGCCACAAGAATTAATTTTTAAGAAAATTTCAGTTTATTAAAATTAATATCATGTCTGTAGACAAGAGGAAGGATTGCCACACCTCAAAATTGAAATTTCAGCTTGAAAACTCTTTTCAAAAGTAGAAGATTTTTTGAAAGAAATATTTTTTTCAGATATTTTCAAAATAAAACATTATAATTCTTGTATTTTCAAAAGGAGAAAAACTTCATGAATCAACTTTACTTTAATTACAAACTAATGTTACTGTAAACTACGTATTTAATCAATTATCAGAAAATAAGGTATGTTAGAAGTCCTTTTCTTTGTTATATATATATATGTACGATAAAACTTTTGATCAATGGTCTCTTGTGGGATTATGCCTATATGACCTGTGTCAAGAGGGGGCAATATTCAGTGTCTTAAAAGAACTGATTGCCCCCAAAAAATTTTTTTTTTAAATTATACACTATAAAAATGAATAATTGCAAACAAGATTACTCAAATGAATTACTACTATTTATTATCTTTAATATAATCAATTTTTTTAGGATGTAATTGATTTGCATTTTTCCACACCCAAAAAAATTGAAGCCAATTTTCATGAGCTTTTTCTTGTTTACTATCTGCTGAAATTTTCCTTAAATGTAAGGAATTTTCGTTTGAGATAATTACTCAAATTTCAATTATTTCTTTACTAAAGTCCTTATTTAGACATCCACTCTTCCAGTGTCTAGAACTACAAATACTGGTCAGGCCTGTTCACGCATTTCTTTTGCACAAGTGCTGTCAATTTCTGTGAACTACTTAAATTTAAATCTGACCAATAACACATCAAGAATTACTGTTCCTAGTTCATGTTCAAACAAGATTCCTATGATTCCTGCAGACCATCCATATATCTTTAGTAGGCAGAATTAAACTGTCAAAACTATGATTTACTTCTGTATGAATGTTTAAAAATTTCAGTGAAACATAATTTCTGTTATTCTTGGCATCAATCCTTGAAAGATGTTGCTTGTCTGGAGTAGGAAGAATTGAACTGCCAAATCTATGATTAAATATTGTATGATTGCTTAAAAATTGTTAACAATAACTTGAATGTGAAGACCGATAATTCAAATAAGTTTAGTAAGGATTAGTTAAAATTATTGTTGACAAGTGATAAAAAATTGGAAAAAGTTAATTAAGAATGATACAAAATTTGTTAACAATAAGTGGTCGTTGCTCTGAAATGTAATGTAAAATCTAATGGAAGACGTTCAGTACCATAAACATATAGTCATTCTTCTGAGGTTGCTGTTGTTTGGAGGCGATCATTAACGGAGGCTTTATTGTATATATATATATAAATAAATAAAATTTTATCATTCTTTGCAATAGTAATCTGCAATAATCAGGCACTAAACTTAACCATTAGTTATTCTTTTATTTTCCTTAATTTAAATGCATTAAGGATGATAAGTATTGAAGGTTTTAGAGCATAATATCAATAATCTTCACTTTTAAAAAAGTAATGTCTTTCTAACTTGAAGCACTAAAGATCAATATAAGTTTCATAAAGTTTGTTCCATTAAAGCATCTTGTTTTAAAATCTTTTGTACTTATATTATATAATTTTGATTTATTCTTACTCAGTGAAACGGATCAATTTTCCTCGTGTAACTATTAATGTATTAGTACAATATTTTACATTTTTTTTCCTCATGAACATAGTTCTATAATTTATTAATTGATTGCCACTAATACTTACATAGTTTGTCTAAAATAAGAATTCCCCTAGCCATTCGTTTAGACCTGTGGCGGTGACTATGGTAAGAAAGTATAACTATTTCAAGTAGAGGTGTGGAGTCACTGTTTAGGACAGGTTTTGGCTCGGGTCGGTGAGAGAAAGGGGATCTTTTTTTTTGGTCTATTGTGTTAAGAATTAAGAGAAGCTACCCTCCCTGAAATGCTCTATTTTTGTTTCCATGGCGGCCTCAGACTTCGTGGCGGAGTAGTTCTTACTGTAGACAAACTACAATAACAATTTTGTGTGACATTTTGCCTTTGTTTTCTTTTCCTCTAATATTTATTCTCCACTTGTGACTAGTACTTATAATTTAAGTTCAATGTTTTTCTTTTTATACAGCTTCTTTAAAATCCATTAATGTCAGAAGAAATCATTTCTCGCAATAATTTTAACAACTTTAAACAGCTTCTTGCAATAACCAAATAACTTTTGTTCAAAATGTATAATTTTGGGTTAAGCATAATAAATAATGTTGCTTATATAAGTAATGTTTCAGTCCTTAATTCTCATCTTTAAGAAGTAACTAATTCTATTTTTTTAGTTTTGGTTTCATTATGTGCTCATTGATTAGTGTTTTTTTTATTTTTATGCTAAAGATTAATGATTGTTTTGTTGTTTTATAATGTTTTCAAGACATATATAAAAGGAATATTTTTATAGATAAAATTAATCAAGCTAAAACAGGTTATTTTTTAAAAAATGTTTCAGTTCTTATGATTTATTTAATTTTCTTATAAAATTTATAAATGTCATTGTGTTGTTTTGCTACTTTGTTAAAAAATTTATTATTTTTGTAAGTATTCTATACTTATTTCTAGGGAAATCAAAACATTAACCTTTATGTAATGTTTTGAAAGGGTTCATAAAAATACACTGTTACAGATTCTAAAAAGATTAAATATTTTGTCCTGTAAGACATGTTTACATATTTTTTCTTTATTGGTTGAATGTTAGTAGTTGGTGTAACATTTTGGGATAGTAAGTTTTAATTTATAATTATAGCCTAATAATTTATTCCTACTATTTAGCTTATTT